AATATGGTCACTTTAGATCCTACAGTATCCTGGAGAATCACTCCCACATACAATTAGATCTTTTTTAAATCGCCCGAATGGTCCTGGCACGGCAGCTGCACGCTGCAAGGCATCCAGGCCCTGCGGAAGCGGAAGGATCTATTCATCCCATTGATCCTGGAGGGGAGAACGGCTATGCCGGCTCTATACTTGGAATTTGCATTAGTGATCTATAGATCCTTATAAGTCTTTCGCGTCCAGTACGTGCTGCCACCGCTGCACAGTCCATGCTTGCGTGAAAAAAGGCGGAAGTTAAAGCAGCTTAAAGATTGCACTTAACTTAATACTTTAAAATATGTCTCCAGGATTCAGATTCTAATCGGTAGATTTGAACGGACCTTTGAGGAAGAATTTAAACAAGTATCTCTCGGAAGATATCTTAACACGTTTGCTCAGTAGAATCCAAAAAGAAGACACTGTAGAATTTTTAACAAAAATTTGTTAAAGCAAAATCATTATAATCCTGTTCCAACACACAAGAATCAAACGAAACCGGAGAGGTATATTCAAGAAGGATACGAAAGAAGGAAAGTGTTTTCCTTGTTTACACACTTTCGCAAATAAATCAATCTTTGTTCAACAAACAAAGAACTGAAAAGGCGTTTCATCGGACAAATGGTGTCTGATAGCTGCTGATAACAAATTCCAAAGCGGTACCGATGGAACGAAAAAGCATTTCAGTTTTAACTTCGACAGATGGCAGAGGACCGGTCACCTGTTTCTTACCTGAACTTTTACCTGAGGAATGGAGAGAGCTTGAAGAGGGACAGGGACCAATCGGTTGGTCGACCCTGGGGCCCGACTGACCCCACCACTGGCTCAACCGTGCCGATCCGGGCTGGCCGAGGCTCGAGGCTCGAGTGCAACAGGGTGCGCTACGTAGTTTAGAATATCATCGGCTATAAACGCGTGAAACGAATTGCGTGGCGTCAGTTCGTGGTTTCATCCTGCATTTACGTTTCGTTGCTGCACGTATATATTTACCGCGCGTGCTGAGTGTTATTCCCTTGTCCATCGTGGAGGACAAATTACCGAAACTGAGATAGAAAAGAGGTGAGCGATCGATCGATCTATCTCGCTAAATCCATTGAAACGCGTCACTCGTTTGCCATTGGGAACCCGAACCGCTATACGATCAACTGGAATTCCTTGGATCGACCGCCAACTAAGGACATTCCGTTGGATCGTGTCCCATCTCGAGGATGTGGACACTCGTGGGCGTATTTCCATTAGCTTTGCTTCTCGGATACCCGTTCTGTTCCCCCTATACGCCTTCAGTGGATTTTACGATTAAGGTCACATGACTCCCAACTGGGAACAGTACACATTATTTTGTTCGAAATCATATGCCTCTTGTCGAACAATATTTATTATAACTAGATCACATTTGAGCAATTTCGTCCAAAAAAATGTAAAGGATATTCTTCTGTCCCAGGCTGGTAACGTAGCATTGTTTTAAGTGATACGATAAACGAGTTTAACTTGTGCTGGTTTAATTTCTTATTTGAACCGCATTTCAATGCTACGAGTGGATTTCAGTATTGCGTTGCTGAGTATGATATAAAGTTTCAAGACGTGTAGTTTTATATTTCGAAACCATTCTGTTCTGTAGTTAAACCTGTGAAATTCCTTCGTTGACAGTTTTACATTTAAAAACCTATCGGTTACTTTGCCTGGGGCTATCCTTTTTTGTCGTTCGCTGCGATTATGTTAATTTACCGCGCGTATAGGAAAACATCGTAAGCGCAAACGAGCATAAAAGATATTTATTAGTACAATCGCACTGCAAAAGTAGCGATGAAATTAATTAGAACCGAGCGCGGACTCGTAAATGCGCTAAACTGTAGCGTTAATTTAAGCTCACATATGCGGCCGCTACTTCATACCTTTGTACGCACTTGTTAGCAGCGACAGATTATGTAGTTTGATATTTTTACGTCCCCATCGGCGCCATCACTACGAAACAATGAAGCTGATAAGGAACGCGTAATACGAGATATACGTATACAGCGTGTTTTGCTGAATTGAAATCATTCTGCGAAACTTGTCATATAGCAAATGGAAGTTCCTTCATTTTTCGCAACTCAAACACAGCAGACAAAATATGCAGTTCTAATCTGTCTATTAAATACACACTGGAGTTGTTCTAAATTTTATATTCGCGATCGCAGAGCAAAAAGTGCTTGCAGAATTTTCTTTTAGATCGAGGTATCAGTGCCGGGAGATAGCTCTGATAATAGTTATCGAACTTTTTGTTCTAATTCCCGATATCAATTATTTCTTACAATTTATTGCCATATTCTTTCGTTTTAAGCATTACATAATTCTTTTATTTCGAAGAAGAAGTTTTATACAGTTTAAGCACCTTAGATACCATTTGTACTTACGCAGCATTGCAATTGCCACTTGGTTCTGGGAATGCGTAGCCGTCGCGAACGGGCATTAATATTAATATAAGCCAGCAATATTTTTATGTAAGCAATGCACATGGCCTTTATCGTTGCACAGTAAACACACACCCATTTTCCTGTGCGCCATGTGTGCGTTTACTATGATTTAAGAGCAATCTGTGTTCCTACAAACAGGAAAAGTCACCTGATTTTTGTGATAAAAGTATACGCTATGCACCTGCAGAAAGGCAAGAATACATAGAATTTTAAGTCTTCAACAGTGCGGGAGTCTTCAAGCATTTATTGTGTGTTGATACGTTTACAATATGATACTGTTCGATTAATTAATCCAGTCGGATAGTTCGCATGAATTATGAGTCTCGATGCAGGCCACTGGAATTTATTTTTATTCCACAACAAAACTGTTCATTCACGTAAAGTTTGAAAATAGGAATGACGTTGACTGGTAGTAAACCGCAAAACCGAGATAAGGGCTCTTTCTACCATTCGTTCACGTATTAATTCTGCTTTTTAATAGTATCAATTTATCTTAAATGCAGCCACCGCAACAGTGGGACGCGTGCCTCCTCTAATAATACCAATTCCGCGTCTTCGCGTCGATTTGTTTGATCGTACGCAATAGCAAGGTCACTGCCCATTCGGATAATTTATTTTTACCCAAGGGAAACTCTGAAACCTGGTTTTAACATCACCTCAGCCGCCGTTGCGAAAGCGAACTCTAAGGTATGACGGTCAAGGTGCGCAAACGTCATTACCTGTATTCGCTGCACTTAATTGTCACCCGACTCGTGTTATCAATAGATCGTGATCTAAATACGATCTAAATACATGAATAGAAAATACCGATGCAGCTTCCTTTACTGTCATTCGCACTGTTAAACATGTAACAGTTTATTGTGTTCTCTTTAATTGACTCATTCTAATGTACAACACTATGAACCGGTCGATTGCAACAATTCGTTCAACGATCTCGTTTCTTTATCAAATTTTGCATATTCATGCGTTCAATTCGAACAATGAACGGCACGGCCAATCTACGAGACGTGATAAAATGAGTCATCGAATCTTTTCATGACTGTTTCAATCCTTTTAATGTTATCAATTAAAAACATTTTTTCAAGTATTTCATAGTGAATAATTCGATGAGTATTGGATATTTGATGACGCTAGACTTACTTCGTTTCGAGAGGGGACAGGTAGGAAGTACAAACACGATTTCTAAACGGTTGACATACTTCCAGCAGCCGAGTTTGCTAAAAATCCAGCTATTGTATCCTGCGTAAGTTCATTCTCCATCCGATACCTTTAGCCGAGATCAGAAACGATCCAGACCCCTGAATGAATAAATACCGAGTGGAAGAGCCGGTTCGCCAGATGCTTCGATTATCTTTTTTTTTTCTCCGAGCTTCAAACGCGATGCTCCTCGATCGTGGAAAGCGGCCTTTTACAAAGTTCACTATCCTCGTCGATCATCCGTGAACAAGCGGCATTATACGCATTCTTATTCAAAGGAAAAATCCTAATTGCAAAAAGACTTTCCGTGATAAATATATGATTAGGAAAAACAATTAAGCAGTTCTTGTTAATGATGTTGCAATACTCTTTCAAGGATGTTCATCGTTCCGAAGTAGAACTAAATAGTGGAGTTCTTGGTAGCTTTGTATAATACATACAAATTATAACAGTAAATGAAGTGGGAGTATGTTTGTATTTTTAGATAATCCGTTTGTCTACCGATTATTATCAGTTAATTTGCATAACACGTTGCAAAGCCTCACAAATGTGGCTATATTTTTGCTTTATATAAAAGTGCATTGACCAAATAGCTGTCGCTCGCGGACACGTCTCACGGATCTCGCGTCTGTAAACGATTTTAACAGCGTGACACGGTCACTCATTTACTAAAACTGGTGAACTATGAGCAAAGGTGCATGACGTGTTTACAAGTGCAAATTACGACCTCAAACACAAGATACAAAAGTGTAAAAAGGCAATGGCATAGTCTCAGACAAAACAAATATATTATCAGAACATATATAAGATAAAATGCTGATAAGATACGACGATAAAAACCGAATGTACTCTGATAAAGCGGAGGTAACGGTGTACTGGCGAAAATGGTTCAACCCCACGGTCCTTCAACGCGCCCGTTATGCTTTCGTAAAATGTAAAAGGAAGTTAATAATAGGGTAGACTAAACGTTTAAAATGTACGATCTTGTACGTTCCGAATTTTCACCGAATAAACTTTCGTGAAACAGAAAGAACAAAATCGTTTTCCGATCTTCGTACTTTACTTAATACTCTAGTTTATCGCTCGATTAGATCGCAGTACGTATCGTACAAATGATAATAATAGATGTTCGTTACGTGTCCTGTTATTAATCCTGAATACAACGACACGTTACGTAAGTGGCCATTACCATGCAAAAGCATTTGTGCAGTGAAACGAGAACAGTCGCGATTAACCAAACCAGACGAGGCAGTCAAAGACATGCCAAAGGCCTAAATGCTTAAATAGAATTTCTGAATAATTGCAAACACGATAGGGTGATGAAACTGGAGATTGATATTTCTTTTATCGTTTAAGGATCGCAATATGGATTTATTTTAGATATATTGTATTAATGCATCAACAGTTAGCTTATCAGTCTATCCATAGCAACTTTTCTTCAAATTGTGTAATATTTACTGTGCGAAAGGTGAAAACACTTTTGGAAAAGATAAGCGCGATCAAAATTGATTCTAATGTGCAAAACGTTCAATTAATTTATTACATATGCTTTAATGAAACATAATTCGAAGAGATAAACAGCGGGCTTGCGAAATCGTTATTTTTTACTGTTATCGATACCAGATTGCGGGCATTATGCCCATAATAGTGTCGCGTTTACGCTATCCAGTGACGTTTCTTTGTAGAGAGTCATTCGAGCCGGTTTTCATAAAAAAAATCCACGCTAACGCGCGACGAATTGATAGCACCGGTTTCGATCGAATCGATATGTATGTAATTCCGACTAGGAGAATGCTTCCAAGTTCGAAGGACAACGCTGCCTTATAATAACTGTCCGACGCACGTCAACGGAATTTCTACGATACGAAACACTATGCGCGACGGACGGCTATGCCCAAACTCGAATAAAAATTGTATGAACTTCCCAGTAATAGTTCCGTTCGGCGAATAACTAATCGCTATCATTGCGTGAATAAGCTTGTTAGTAGAACCACATGTTTGAATAAGATTTCATGTACGTGATATTTTTCAAGATAAATTGAATCTATCTCGTTCGCAGCTTAATTAAAAAGTTCAACTTTAATTAAAAATTAAAAATACATTTTTTTAATATAAAGTATGCCTCTACATAAAGATATCTTTATTACTCGGCAATCTTCGTTAAAAAATCCCTAAAAGCCCTTGATACGTTTGATTACCTGTTGTAATCACAAGTATCATAGTGTAGCAGATAAAGATATGAAAAATTACTTAAGTTCGAAGTCTGGTTTCAATTGAAATCAATTGAGTGGGTATGTAATTTTTAGTATCGACGATAAGTCACATACAGTTTCTTTACGGACCGTCTAGCTGAGCTGAATAGTAGCTGAAGAATGTCGATCCGAAGATTTACGGATTTTAGGGGCAGTGGATCCCCTTTTGTTATGACCAAATTGAAATGAAAGAGCAAAAGGGAGGGACCACCTGCGCTATCCTCGGAGGACAGGTAACTCTACCTGGCTTCAACCGTCGAGATTTTTCGAGAACCGAACAAAGAACCCAGCTGGTACTCGTGCACACACCCTACGACCTGAGGCCCACCTCTTAAGGCGACATTCACACGCGTATATCTATACCTAGTCGATCTCTTCCCATTCCTGGAAATCGCATACCATCTTCTCCTATTTGCCATTTAAACACGTGCAACTAGTTTCGATACTTACAAAAACCGTCGCCATACGCGTTTATTTGTTAAAAGATAAAAGAGTACTTCTCGACAATAACAAGGATTGACGTTCGTTTTAATCAACTTCGATTTCCATTTCTTATTCTTGACAATTCGATTTGATAAAGCCGCTTTGTTAATTTCATCGAGATAGCGACCTATGCGACAGATAATCATTGTTACGAGAATAATATGAAATTGCACGTGTGTATCTACACGATGTCTCGACATCCTTTTAATCCCAGATGAATTTATTAGCCCCGAAACATGCGTTGATCGTCGCATCGTGGAAACACGGTTCGAGTGGGTACCCAAGCGATTGATAATGAAATTCATACGAGAAACAGTAGACGGTTCATAATCGATCGGAAGATCGAGCGGATCCCTTGGATCAATTACTCGAAAGTATTTTCCTTTTGGGTAAAGATGCTGCACTTCCTCTCCTAAAACCGGTTGTAGTTACTCGAACCCAGATAGGAAACATGTTGAACGAGACTTCGTATAGAATATTTTTAATCAAACTTGCGTGTTAGTCGTTAGAGCGATGAAAAATTGATTGCATAATTGAGGAGAGCAACAATTTTGTTGTTAACTATATATTTTTGTTTATAGAATAAAAGATGAAGGTCAGGAAGATCAACTTAACAGCTGTGCTGCTTACGCTGTTACTGTATGCGACCGTTTCTCAAAGTGAATCGGACGAATACGAGTATCCGGGGGGGGACTCACTAGAGAACTTGGGACTTCACAACGATCGTTGGAGTCTATATCACGACCATGTGCCACGATCGAGAAAGGAAGACGAAGACGCTTTTCGGCATTTCAAACCCCGCGTCATGTACAATCCTGACAGTGTGCTCTTCGATGCAATCGGCGATTTGGAAGAAGACGATGATTTCAGACCCGAGGTGCATAGAGCTTTTTAAAAAAACTGTTTAAAAGTAAATGTATCGACCCTTGCTATGATCGAACGAATAAGATATTACCTTGATACTCTCGTTCGAACCGACATTCCTTTTCCATTTCCACACGTTCTATTACCCCTGATACTTCGATAGTTATTAAAAAGAATAGTAACACATCAAGTTTAGAAAAAATTGCAGATTGACGAAGTTGCAAAAACGGCTGAAGCGGAATCTAGCACAGTCGCAGTTTCAACTTCGACAACAACTGCGAAAGCGACAACTGAGAAAACGACCGTGAAAATTACATCTGCGGAAACTACAACTGCGAAAACTACAACTGCGAAAACGACAATAGCGGAGACGACAACTGCGGAAACGACGACAGCAGCGGTAACCGTTAAAAATATGACTGCGGATAGCGCGATCAAAAAATTGGTCGAAGGCGAGGAACCCTACGACGATGATGTGAGCGAGAACGAAGAGGACGAAAGCGACGACGAATACGATGACGACGACGAGGACACGGAAGATGAGGAGGAGGTGTTGCCCGAATGTCCTGAATATTGTAAATGTGCCGGGGAATATGCAGCTGCTACAACTGCAACGTAAGTTTCCGGCTCTGGATTTAATTACTTCCTGTATATTCCTATATGCACTAGCGAACGATAAATATGAAATTGATAACGCCATTCAGCTTATTATAGCACGTCTGATAATATGAATTGGCGCAGTCAATGATTGCTACCGTTATTCGAAATATGCTATTTTATGTACAGCTGCACCAAATTCGTGGATAAACAATCGTTTGGTACTGGCATTGTTCATCTGCGCATAGAAAACGCTGGACAAATTCGTCTCGGGCCTCACGCGTTCCAATCGATGGGTCTCCAGCAATTGGAGTCTATTTTGATTACGGATACGCAGATCATCGAGTTGAATCAAACGGCGTTCGATGGAATGTCGTACTTGTTCTCCGTGAATTTGACGCGCAACGATCTCCAAGAAATCCACCCGAACACTTTCCAAAATAACAAACAGCTTACATTCCTTGCCATTTCCGGAAATCCGCTGAAACACGCGCAAGATTCGAAATTCAAGCACGGTCTCTTCGAGGCACCATCTGTGACGGAGTTCGACTTCTCCTTCAACGGCTTGACGAAATTGAAGCGTTCGATGTTCGCAAAAATGCCGGGTCTCGCTTATATCAACTTGAAGGGCAACAAGTTAAAGGAAATCGATAACGGAGTTTTTAATACATTAGAATCGCTTTTCGAAGTGGACCTCTCGAATAACTTATTGAACGAACTTCCTGTTGACCTTTTCGCTAAGAGTGGAATCGAAACGCTTCGCATTGCCGGTAAGATTCAGTCGCGCAAATAATAATTTACTATATTTAAATTAATTCGGCTTAACGTTTAACTTCTGCTCGTAATTTGCAGGAAATAATTTGGCAACATTAAGCACGATACAAGCGGCAGAACTGAGGTTGTTAGATGCGTCTAACAATAAGATCAAAGTGATCGCAAAGGATGATCTTTCCAACATGCCCTTACTGGATCAGTTGATACTTAGCTCGAACGGTCTTAAGAGGATTCATCAACACGCGTTCGCCGATCTTGACGAAATGACTCATCTCGATATCAGCGACAATAAACTGTCCTCCTTGACGGAACATCATCTGAGGAGCAATACCAGACTGCAAGTTCTGATAATGAACGACAATCCTGAGTTGGAAACTTTGCCAGTTTTCAAAACGTTCGGACTTGAATATAATACGTACAAGTAAGGATATTTAAAATCAATGCGAACAGTAAGATTTTTATTCATAACTGAATGTATGAAAATATTTTTGCAGCATCTACCGATTCGAATGCTCGAATTGTGGCTTGTATTTCCTCGAGAAAGAAACCTTCTACTCTATGCCGGCAATAACGCGATTGAATCTCTCCAAAAACCGATTGACCGGCCTACCAAACGGACTTCTGATCGGTCTCACATCTTTGCGAGTCCTTGATCTTTCCGACAACATAATCAATACCTTGGACAACAACATGTTCCACGGTGCTACCAGCTTGACTAAAGTCAGTCTTGCTGGTAATCCTTTGGTAACGTTACAAGTAACACCGTTCCTGATGGCTACCGAGCTTACCAAACTCGACGTGAGCAGATGCGCTTTGGAGAGAGTCTGGAGCGAAGCTCGAGTCCCGCTGACTAGTTTACGGTACGTAATATACTTCTTCGTTCGACGGACTCTTTTAGTTACATTCTATTGAATTTTCAGATATTTGTCAGTTCGGCATAATCCTCGTCTTCGTCGAATCACCGTTGAAGAACTAAAGGCAACGCCAAATCTCGTTAGTTTGGATTTGTCACAGAATTCTCTCGATTGTGATAACGAATTTAAAGATGCCGTGCAGTGGCTCACCGACCACGGCGTAGCATCGATCGAAACACCCAGGTAATTATTCAGTTTCATATTAGTAAATTCGAAGAAACTCGCGTTTATATTTATTTCTGTATATTTTTTATTTCCAGGTACATAAGCAACTATGCTATTAGCGACACTTACCAAGATTCCGATGGCATCAGTCAATGGACAGATTTAGCGAAGATTGTCTGCGGCGGCATAGTCGAGGGACCACCGGCACGGCCCGTTCCTCACAAGAAGAAATGTAAAGTGTTCTTCGATGAACTCGATACGTCGGACGACTCGGACTCTCTATTAAAGAGCATCGAAAACGACGAGGAACTACTTAAATTGCAAATCGATCACGGACTAAAGTCGAACGAAGAAGTCGAGAAAGCCTGGACCGGCCAGAACCAAGAGTACGAAGACTTCGTCGCCTCGGAAAGCATAGAATATCAACCCTGGTATTCAAACGCGTTTTGGCCGGTGGTTATCGTGATCATCATAACGTCGATGATCCTTTTATTGACGGTACACATCGCGATCCACTTGGCGAAGCGACGTGGCCAAGGACCCGTTATCAGACCGCCGATGATCCTTCGAGGACCAGGCTTGATCGACAACAAGAAGAACTGTGGCTTGGTTTATAAGCCGCTTCAAGAAGAAATCGCTACGCCCCATGCACCGAAGCGTGGAAGCTTTTATTCCAGCAGTACATTCCACTACGATAAAATTGTGCCAGAAAGCGTTTAAACTCCTCGAGGGTCCACGATATGTCTGAAGATCATACTTGACCCGAGTCGCGATTTTTAATGAGTGAATTGTATAAATATATATTTTTACATTCGAAAATCACAGTTTGATTTAAAGAGATATTAAGAGAAGCAAGAGACACGATGGAACGAGTTTTTATTATGCGTATACGTAATTGAAACTTACGCTCGAAAAACGTGCCATTTGCAAACATACTAAACATTTATCAGTGGATATACAGATTCCGTTTCATAATATCATAAAATACTTAGAAGCGATTTAACGTTTATATGTAGTTTTCTTATTTTAAACGCAGGAAAGCACGTTTTTCAGAATGCTTAACATTTCGCGTACGTGTAAAGATTTTATGATACTTAACACAATGTACGGTGGGAATACATATATATTTTTTATTATTGTAATATCGTAGGCAATCAATATTTTCTCATTTGGAACGATTTCTTACACATTGAAATGACAAAATCGTAATATGTAATTGTATACACATTACTTAATTAATGTGTGACTATAATATTACGTTTTCTTCGTTTAATAATTTTAGTAAACAGGGTTTTAAGAAGACGATCGATATAATTTTGTGTTTTAAATTAAAACAATCCAAGTATACCATAAGTATAAAATAATATTCTGTAGTACGAGAGTAGTACATTATCACTGTGCTATGCATTATGCTACGTGTAAATAATGTATAACGTCTTAATAAAATTTCATTATAAATAAACCATAATTGATATATCTCGACAATATCTGTGTCTCCAATTCCCAATCGTAACTGATGCTAACGAAAACAAATATATTGATGACGCACATTTTAATCAACTTGTTGCTCAACTAGCTTTAACGTATGTAGTAATATCCGAACGTGTTTTGTAACTTCTACTGTTTTCATACTTGAAAAGTTAGATTTCGATGCTACTTCATGAAAATTTCGCTTCGTTAAGCAAACGTGTCGATTGCTCGCAACGAAAAATTATCAGCCTGTTTGTTTGGACGATTTTACCTTGAAACTCTAAATTTCTTATCGGGACTGACGCGAGCTTGAGAATTGATACGGCACTGATTTTACAATCAACTCGATCTGGACACGCAAGAGACTCGTAGTCGTAAAACTCGCTGGTGAACGGTGGAGAACAGCGCGCATCAAGTCGAGAGAGAACTTAAGAATAACAATTAGCGGTTGCGCTTTTTTTACTTTTTATATACTTGTTATTGAATAAAATTAAAAATGATTCCTAGAAGACACGTTTTGGAATTGCTACAAGTTATTTCTTCTCAATCGTAAGTAAAATATCTTTAATGTTGAATAATAAATTAATACACATTAATATGCTTATAGCTGTAAATGTCCGGCTCATGCGAATTTAGGTAACACTACGACGCATGAATTAAGGAAAGCGCGTAGCACGATAACTAATGCTACAGCATCAAAAGAATATGCATTCGAGGCACGTATTTTTATAAATACTTTACCAATTACTTACTTATTGACTGATGAATGAAAATTACAGATGGCTTGTTCCACGGTTCGATATGGTATCGGAGTTACCAAAGAATTGGGAATGGACATGCAAAATCTCGGTGCGAAGAATGTATGTTTAATGACGGATTCGAATTTAGTAAATTTGCAGCCTGTTAAAACCGCTGTGGACAGTCTTACTAAATATGGTATTCCAACAACAGTTTACGACAAAGTGCGTGTAGAGCCTACAGAGCAGAGCTTGAAGGATGCAATCAAGTTTGCTGAACGCGGAAAATTCGACGCTTTTATAGCGGTAAGAAATACAAATGTATTTGATCTTCGCAAATTATGTATTAGAAAAGATATTAATTAATGTAACTATCTTTTATCAGATAGGAGGTGGTTCAGTGATGGACACTTGTAAAGCAGCCAATCTCTACAGCTCCGATCCAGAAGCCGACTTTTTAGATTACGTGAACGCACCTATCGGTAAAGGTAAACCAATTACTGTACCGTTAAAACCGCTAATAGCAGTGCCAACTACTTCTGGTACCGGTTCCGAGACGACTGGCGTCTCTATCTTCGATTATCAACCACTTAAAGCCAAAACTGGAATTGCTAATAGGTAAATAGTCGGTATTTATGTAAAACACTTGTACCAGAGATGAAGTTAATTAGAAGCTTTTAACAGGGCTTTGAGACCCACATTGGGCCTTATCGATCCAAATCACACGTTGTCCATGCCAGAAAGGGTTTGCGCTTATTCTGGCTTCGATGTTCTGTGCCATGCACTCGAATCATTCACCGCGATACCATACACGGAGAGAACACCTTGCCCTTCTAATCCAATTCTTAGACCAGCTTACCAAGGTAGCAATCCTATCAGCGACGTGTGGTCAAGATATGCTCTCCAAATCATGCGCAAGTAAGCACCGTACTATATTTTTGATGATATTTCGAAATCGACTTGCGCAAACGTTTATTCGTTTCTGCAGATATTTTAAAAGAGCAGTATACAACGAAGACGACCTCGAAGCTAGGAGTAGCATGCATCTCGCGAGTACCATGGCTGGAGTCGGATTTGGAAATGCTGGAGTTCATCTCTGTCACGCGCTTTCTTATCCCATTAGCGGAAATGTACATAGTTTTCAACCTAAGGTGCGCGTCAATTTTTATACGAAATTAATCGAATAGTAGGAGTTTATGAAAAATAATGTATTCGTTTATTCTAGGGTTACAGTACGGATCATCCCATAATTCCTCATGGACTTTCGGTTGTTATCTCGGCGCCTGCCGTATTTTCGTTCACCGGTAGCGCGTGTCCAGAAAGACACTTAGAGGCCGCTGAGTTACTTGGTACCGACATAAGCCGAGCCAAGAAAAGCGACGCCGGCAAAATTTTAGCCGACACGGTAAAGGAGTATATGAGCGTAATGAAAATCGAGAATGGTTTGACGGAGTTAGGATTCAAGAAGGAAGACGTTCCTGCTTTAGTTGAAGGCACGCTACCGCAAGTAAGTACCATAGGTTTCTTCCAATAGTGATTTATTGATCACCATGGATTACAATTAGGTGAATTCGATATACTTCTACAATTTCCTGTTAATGGTATATGTCGAATTCATAATTGTTGATTCTTTTACATTGAATATCTTTGTATGATCATACAGTGATATTTATTGATTGATTCTGTAGTTACGTAACATTTAATAGCGCTTCCTGTGAATATCGCGAGATACATTTATTTCTATTTTATATTTGCAGCATCGCATTACAAAATTAGCACCTAGAGACCAATCAAGGGAGGATCTTACACAACTATTCGCGGAATCTTTTACAATCTACTAGGAACAATATCTTAACATGTACTTTCTTACACGATCATATAATCTATTTTCTAAATAAAATGTTTACAAAAGATTGCTTTGTCTTTATGCTATATAGATGTAGAAATAATAAATTTTACAAAATCTAAAGTATTATCGAATATAATCAATTAACGAAATATTTGTGCGACAGACGTCGGTTTTTTTATGGTTTTTGCGAAGCCAATTTCCTGCCAGAGTATCCTCGAAAAAGCACTCGCCATTACAACAATAATGACGAGAAGGACACCTGACTTAGAAATGACTTGCAATTACCAATATAACGATTAGTAAAAGACCGTACCGAGATCTTTATACATAAATGTACATATATATATATCTTAACAATTTTCCCTTGAACGCAAAATTATCTGATTACCTACAACCTACGCCGAATACATCGCATGAATCAATCGCCGTGCATTAAAAATGAACAAATTTAACTAAACGTAAATTAGCTACGGATCTTTCGTACGTAGCAGTCAAACATATCATTTTGGAATATCTACTTTCCGAGTATTTGTTATAATTACGTATTTCACGGGTAGAGAAACGTTCGTCCTATTTAGAAAGATACATCATCGAAAAACGTAGGACCAGTATGAGTTGACCGATTTCGCATAATTAAAGAATTGTAGAGCATAAAATATGGTTTGCAACGTTCAGAAATGAATTTTCGTCAAACATATATCTATCTCCCATAATATAAATTTAAATACATGCTCGACGTCTCTAATCAAATCATTGAAATATAACGTAATTTATATGATGTACGAAATGAATTACGGCTTATTATAATTCTTCCGTATTCAAATGATATTTATCAATTTCTAATGATATTAATTATTGTCCGACACTAGTATGTACCTTTTTACATTTGAGAAATAAATATTACCGATCACTCTTTATCCGTAATAATTTGAATAAATTCGATATCTGCTCGTTTATACCATATTCGTTTCGCACGCATTATAAAATTGATATCTCGTAATGTTTCCACGATAATATAGAATGCTATATCTAAATTAATAGTATCCATTTTCGGGCAGTAAGTTGTAAAATCGTTGCTCTGAAAATTGATAATTCAAATGTGATAAATTTTTACTTACGTTTATACGGTTCGAAATTGTACAATTTGTTACCTTGATCATTTCACGTTGGAAGTGTTTGCTTTCTATTATTACAGTCATTGCTTTTTGATGCCAGTATCAATTTATATAGTTCGCGTTATTAACATATTACTTATTGCTTTCTTCAAACTATAAAATTAAAAAAAAAATATATTTTTGAGGAAATAGCAAATTTAAGCTCTTTAATAATAACAGTACACACACAGTCGCACCTCTTTTAAATAGGTATTATTCTCGTAATCGATATTAATGTTCATTTCGATAACTCTTCCTTTCCGTTTGAATTAACTCCCTCGACTGTAGAGATAGAACTGTTCACCGAATGATATAGCAAGATAGGCTCCATCCATTAAGGACATTCATATTTACTGTTCAATATCAAGCTATATAGTTCATTCTTGTAAGAAGTGTAATATATTAATAATAGATCATCGTATCAGAAGAAATAATAACATTGTAAGTACTCGACACTCGCGTTCGTATAAGGATTACTCTAATCCTCATACGAAATTCTTATTTATTTAATATCATTCCGTACAATTATAATTTGCCTTATTATTATCATATCGCATTGTTAAATATCATACTTCGAGAATTTTGCATACAAATTCGCGCTATTGATTTTCTGACGTTTGCGAGAATTAAAATACCAGTAATACAACATAAATGTTGTATGAAACGTCAAAAATTGACAGAATCGGGTATTAAATTTTATTAACAATTCGATTTTGGAGTTATGGCAGTTGTAGGAATTAACGGATTCGGTAGAATAGGGAGAATGTGTCTCCGTGCCTGCATCGAAAAGGGTGTTATGGTAGCTAATTAATTATTTCAAATGTCCGTTCTTATTTTCTTGTATCTAGCAATAGAATAACTGTATTTAATTAGGTTAAACATATCAACGATCCACACATAACGACCGATTATATGATATACTTATTCAAATTCGACTCGACTCACGGACCGTATCCAGCAAAAGTAGAATGTGAAAATGGATATATTATTATCGGAGGTATCGAATTTCATTAAGACTAGAGTATCAATAGTGAAAGGCATCACTGATCTTGTCTTTTCTCGAAGATTATAAAATTGCCACGTCTCAGGAGAGGAACCCGTGTAAAATAAATTGGAGAGAATCAGGCGTGACCTACGTGATCGAGGCTACTGGTGTTTTCACCACTTTAGAAAAAGCGAGTGTAAGAGACGAACGATATGAAAATCGAAACGAACGAAATGAAAAACGTACGGGATAAGAAGAAATAGTACTTTGATTTCAGCTGCATATGGATGGCGGTGGGAAGAGAGTGATCATTACCGCACCTTCCATAGACGCACCTATGATGGTCTACGGTGTGAACCATACTTGTTACGATCCGAAAAAAGGTAAAATAGTTTCGGCAGCGTCCTGTACGACAACTTGTGCGGCACCGATCATCAAATTGATGCACGACAAATACGAGGTGATCGAAGTAATGATCAGTAGCGTGCATTCGTTAACACCCATGCAAAGAACATTGGATGGACCGATAGAGAGGGGAAAAGTAATTGCTATGTAGAATTTCTTCTTTCTAAATGATCACATCATAATTATGATTTGATAGTCGTGGAGAGACGGGAGAGGCGGGCTACAAAATATCATTCCGACATCTTCCGGTGCCGCGAAATCGTTAGATAAAATTATCCCCGAACTTAAAGGGAAGATTTCTGCGATTGCTTTCAGAGTACCGATTTCGAATGTTTCTTTATGCGACATGACTTTCAGGTAATCTTTGCATATAATAATCTACAACACAACATTTTTTTTTTGCAACATCCACTACGTGATTTTTATAGAGATTCTCATACGAAAAGCGAATCCGCAAGTAGAAATGCTCTATCACGTACCGTTTCCGAGAAGTAGCTGGTTTTGTAAAAATGGATGATTTTAGGAAAATGAACTATTAGGTGAAGACTACAAGAATGACGTAGTGGACATTGCAAAAATTGAAAAGAGTCTCATTTTGTTGGATTGTGAAATCCTTCACTGATTACAGAGTTAATAAACCGACTACGTACGAAGAGGTAAAAGAAACGATGAAAACAGCTTCAGAAGGTGACTTCGATGGAATTCTCGGATACACAGACGACGATTGTGTATCATCTGATTTCAACACAACGACTTATTCGTGTGTCTTCGATGCGAAAGCCGGCATTCCTCAAACAAGTACATTCATCAAAGTCATTGCCTGGTAATTATCGAACCAAACAGATTCTCGACCATATTGATTCTCCAGTAATTAAATCCGGAATGCTCGATTCTTTTAGGTACGACAATGAATTCGGCTATTCTCATCGTGTAATCGATTTAATATTATACATGTACCAAATTGATTCCGGTAACATACCTGTACCGCCGGAACCAGACTTAGAAGAGACCGAAGATTAGTCGAATAATTACTCGTTCGAGAACAAGTACAGTTCATAAGATTACATTTTACATAAATTAATTATTACACTGTTTTCTATTATTGCACGTGCGATTTTTCTGTAGTAAAACTAGCACAATTTAAATAAGTTCGTTGAATAAATAATCTTTTACTTAGTCTCGATTCTGTGTCTGCAATGCTAAATGTTAAAGGAACGATTTATAAGCAGTTTTTAAAGTAATTGTATACACGGGTATTCCGGTCAGTTTAAAGTTAGCGGTTCTCAAATAAGTCGATAAACCTACGTGATCACGTGGTCCGAGTTTAGCCGACGGTGGACGAAGTAAAAAACGCACACATCGAAGACTGATACCGGTTATATTACCGTTTCCTGCCCTTCAAATGACACTGCTGTTCCAGTAAGCGTAGTGTGCTGATTGTTCTATCACGTAAGTATCTCGCAATCTTCAGTTCGTTTCTCGTTTGCCCCGTCCTTTCATTATTAATCGATAGATCCTAATTAACCGAGTCCAGCGATAAATCACAATCGTATATTGTTAATATTGAACGGAAGAATAATTGTGAAGCCGGCTCTAGAATCTAGAATTGCGTAGCGTGCAACTAACACATTTTATTCATACCGGCTGATATGACGTCACAAATTACTATCTCCTTGCAATAATCTCTGTAATATGTACGTAATTTATAGGATGTCTGTTTAAGAATCTTCCAGAAAGCGTGGTCTGATAAATATATCAAACATGTCCGAATTCATTTTCGTTTATGGGAACTCGTGTACCGGAATTTTCTATGCACTCATTTATTTTTTTTTCGAGTCGTCACGTAATCCGGCTTCGCGTGATAATTATTCAATTATTATAAAAATATAATAGCGATTACCTCGAAGGGACCGAGCGTACTTCTAATTTGTTGACGGCACAATTTGTTTTCAATAATTCTGGAATAATGAAGCAAATTCTATTCGGAATACAACGTTCGTTTTCGTCACATATTGGAATTTATTAAAGTTATAATTAAACCATTTTTCAAATTGCATAAGATGCTAATGGTACGACGTACGTTAATCAATATTGCATCACTGCGTATCTAATCTTTAGTTAGTTTTCAACTATTTTCCATCAGGAATTCTTTCAATCGCAAAAGATCTGTATCGTCATAAAAAGGATATGCGAGAAAGGTCACGTCCGTTTTCAAGGATAGTCGGGTGGGAGTCTGTGATCTTTCTGACCTTGAGTGACCTTTGCAATAAAACAAAGTTTGTAGGAATAGATATTCAAAGTTCAATTTAGTTTAGAATCTCCTGTGAATTATTTAAATATAAAGAATCGCGGGAGCTGAGAAGAATTATTTTTAGCAGACGCACGAGTATCACGAGCGACCAAGCTGTTTCCGCTAGGCACACGTAGACCCTACAGTTTATATTTATCAACTAAATAATAATTATGGGAAAAGATGAAGTAATAATTACAATAAAACAATTGAAACGATAACATCTTTGTATTCGTCATATTATTTATCTATGTCTAGTACAGTTACCTACGTCTAGATTATAATTTATAATTATGAGATATGAACCGTAGTTCGTTTAATATGTGTTAAAGTCGAGAATAATCAGATATTAAGAAAACGATAACATCTTTGTATTCGTCATATTATTTATCTATGTCTAGTACAGTTACCTACGTCTAGATTATAATTTATAATTATGAGATATGAACCGTAGTTCGTTTAATATGTGTTAAAGTCGAGAATAATCAGATATTAAGTTATACAAAATATTAGCAGTTAGATTTATACACAAGGTTATGCCGCTCGTGACGAGATTAACCTCGTTCGTATTGATATCGCGAAAGTTGATTTCCGTTCATCGTACATTTGTCAAGCCGAAATTATGTTGTCGACAATTGATCCGGTCGTTTTCCAGTTGCGACAACGACGACGACGATATGAGCAAAATTGGAATCAACGGATTTGGCCGTATCGGTCGCCTGGTGCTCCGGGCCGCTCTCGATAATGGTGCTCAGGTATCAGACGATTCAACGTTCAAATATAAACAAGTTTTAACATTCAAATATCTTCTTATCCTAATGATTTTGTTAATTTAGGTCGTTGCCATCAATGATCCATTCATTGGTGTGGATTACATGGTATACATGTTCAAGTATGATTCTACGCACGGTAAATTCAAGGGAGAAGTAAAAGTTGAAAGCGGTGCCTTGGTCATTAATGGCCAAAAGATAGCCGTGTTCGGTGAACGTGACCCGAAGGCAATCCCATGGTCAAAAGCTGGAGCAGAATACATCGTCGAATCTACTGGTGTCTTCACCACCATAGAGAAAGCTTCCGTACGTGAAAATATAATTTGGTTTTTGATTGTTGTACACCGAGGAATTTATAACAAATATTTGTTCCTTCATTTTTCAGGCTCATTTGGAAAACGGTGCGAAAAAGGTCATCATTAGCGCTCCATCGGCCGATGCGCCTATGTACGTCTGCGGTGTCAACTTGGACAGTTACGATCCATCCCACAAAGTTATTTCCAATGCTTCTTGCACAACCAACTGTCTAGCTCCTCTCGCTAAAGTCATCCACGATAACTTCGAAATTATCGAAGGTCTCATGACGACCGTGCATGCCATCACCGCTACCCAGAAGACGGTCGATGGACCTTCCGCAAAAGTGCGTTTTGCAATAGCATTTTCTGTTCGCACTTCCATTTTTCTATATTTCTTTTAATTTACGTTGTTCGATTGTATAGCTGTGGAGAGATGGACGTGGTGCCGCACAAAATATTATTCCTGCCGCAACTGGAGCAGCCAAGGCTGTCGGCAAAGTCATTCCGGCTCTGAACGGCAAATTGACTGGTATGGCGTTCCGTGTGCCAGTCCATAATGTGTCGGTCGTCGACCTGACTGTCAGACTTAACAAGCCAGCGACCTACGATGCCATCAAAGCCAAGATCAAGGAAGCTTCTGAGGGACCCATGAAGGGTATCCTGGGATACACGGAAGACGAAGTAGTATCTTCCGACTTCATCGGTGATAACCGTTCCAGTATTTTTGACGCTAAAGCCGGAATATCTCTGAACGACAACTTCGTCAAGTTAATTTCGTGGTACGACAACGAGTTCGGTTATTCAAACCGTGTTATTGACTTGATTAAATACATTCAAACGAAAGATTAAGGAGATCGTCGTTCGTTACACTTGCAACGTGTGTATAATAATGTTTATTATATGAGCATATCTCTCTGTTAATCATCAAATCCAAAAACGAACGTATAACATCGAGAATATTTTAGCATTACAATTTTTCTCGCACAGTTAATAGAACCGTAACGAATAGATATTGATTATTAAACAAGTACAAAAAGAATGTAAGTTTTTTCGATTCCTTAAATATTAATTGATTGGAGCTTTTATCCACAGTTTAAAAATGATGCAAATATAATATACATGTAATACGAATTACATAGTTGTGTATGGAACGTAAATCATTCTATTCTTTGTAAGCACAGGTTTGCTTTCGATAATTTATTCATTCATCGACAACATTCACGATTAAGACTTAATAAAAACTTGTGATTTATTTCCGTAATATTGTCATGCGCATAGACATCGATTAAAACTGTTACGAAATTAAGACAATGCTTTATTTCATTTCTCCAACAGGTTCTTATCTTTATGTGTATCGTTACATTTTTACAGAATTACATGGATAGGAATGGGTAAATTAACAATCAACTTCATATACTTTCTATACAATTTCTGTACACTTACGAAGAGAAATCTTTTTCGCACGATTATTAATTGAATTACTTGTACGCACGTAACTTTTTAACACAAGTTTTTAGCCGCCAGAAATGGCTGCAACATCGGCCGCGATATTGCTAAAATATCATGCCGTATGGCACAAGGAATAGTCTGTTAACATTTCTCAGCAACGTTAAATTAGCTTTTATACAATTTATATATGCAAATGGAATTGCCGGTTTTTCAAGCAAACGATTAAGTGTAATATCTTTCTGATACGATTTAAAGCAGCACACGTAGTATACAATGATCTCGTAGCTAACAATAAGTGAAAGAAAAATAGATACAGAGTAAACGTACAGATCGATTCAAGGTATTATTCGTATATAACATTTCTTTTTAAAGTATATTTTTATTCTCTGAGTGTTCTGTTCCTGCAGACTTAATTTTCTCTCATTCCTTGTTTTAATTCTATTCGCTATATACAATTATCACGAAATGAAATACATTGTAACATTTTTTTTTCGTTTAGGAATAGGTACCAATCAGTTATATGCCATGCTGTGAAAAATTTGGTTGTACAGTAATACGAAAATACAGTTTTATTTTCTTACCGTAAACAATAAACGTCCATCACTTGTTTTCAGCAGTATACAATGACCGTCAAGCTTTTCGCTATCGCTTGACATGAACATTTAACTCTTAAAGAACTCTTCGATATATAAAGAACTATTTCTTCTTTCTCAGCAATTCAGCATAGTACTTACACATAAAAAATATAAGTTTTTAAAATTATTTTAAACATTAAAATGCTATAACATTTGAATACTAGAGAGTGGCAGATGTTGCTACGATATTTGTACCCACGCTTCTAATGCACACTGGAATTGTCTATGAAAGAGGATAAATTACGAATAATAACGTACCATCATTTCTTGTCGACGACGCTTCGTTCCGGGAACCGTAAAAACATCTATTCTTTCCCAATGAAACGTAGTAATTCGAACAGTAGTAAGCATTAATTAAACACGCATCGTTAAAACGTTGAAAATATGTAAATGGACATTTAAAACTGAACTAATGCTTCGAACAGCAAGGAAATAGATCGAACAGTCAACATTAGATAATTCCTATCGATATTCGTCTCTTAATTTCTTTTTTACGCTAATTATCATGAATAGACGAAACACATTGCAAAAAGGAAATACTCTAGACTAGCATGACACATGAGATACTCAATCTTATGATGAATGTAGGAAAAGTCAGTAATTCAGTCAAAAATAGCTTTACAAACGATAACAAATTGGATCATGTTAGAAGTAACAGCTTTGCTCGGAGATTTATACGTTCTTGAAGTGCGCTCGCTAACTCCCGCGTCAACTCCTCGCAAACTAGTCGCAGTTCAGCGTTCTTTTCCCGCAACTCCTCTAACGTTAATTTCTTTGATTCTTCCAGCTCGTCCTTAGGTGCATCTTCCTCTGTTCCATCTCGTTCTGTAAACGAAGTACAGAAATAGGATAGCAATGATAAGTGCAATTCAGAATTTGTAGAAATATTATGAAATCAATTGAAATACGTACTTGGACTTGGTTTTCTATAAATATGAAATGCACCACAGACACCCGTGAATTGCTGTGACTGCGGAGGTTCCAAGGATGTGTTTTCGGGTAGTTCGCTCTTGGGAGAAAAGTGAGAAAAATCAGCGACAAAACCTTGATTTTCATTTAAGGTTCTTTGCTCTTCTCCCTCGCTCTTTTGACCGACCAATTTTCGAGGCGAACTCTGTAGTAGAGAGATACATGACAAAGTTTCCTTGATAATAATAATAATGACTTCCTGTTAATTTCATAACTTTCTGAGTTCATAGCAACATTGAATATACTACTGTACGAATTCATTAAAAGTAGCTTAACTAAACGTACGTTTCGTTACTAATAATTTATGTATGCGGAATTATGAAACGAGTGACGAACAAATGTACTTACGATTCCGGGAGAGATTCTTGGTGGAATTAGCGGAGGTGCTCCGAGGAAACTTTGACCATTTTTCCCTATAAGAACGCGCACAGTTTGAAGCGTAAAACTTTGCTTTCACAGCCACAGATGAAAAGTTATCGCAGAGTATTGGTAGCAAGATATACCTAGTTTATTAAGATCAAGACTAGAACTTCTTGCGTGTGTTCTGTACGGTCTGGGTGGTGGCGGAGGCGGTGGTTCCTTCTTTGGAGTTACGATAATGGCTTCTTCGGGGGGCGGAGGTGGCTTTTTTATGAGAGGACGTTGCTGTGCCAGTGCACTCGCTGTCCGTTGGAGATCCTCGTCCCCTAACGTGGTGCTGTTGTTACCGTTAGCCCCGGAAGCAAGAATCGCTGCTTCGGGAGTTAAACGCAACGCAACAGGATGTAGAATTTTCGGATCCTTTTCGACGTCAGACTTTTGAAAATCGAAATTCACTAACTGCAAGCCTGGACTAGTCAAAGAGCTGCTCGTCCCGGTCGGTGAGTCAACAAACTTCGTCCATTCCTTATTTCTTTCTCGAGTTCCAGTACCTGCGCCAGTTCCGGCGCTACCGTTGTTAGATGTGTTCGGTGGAGTTTTCTGCGTTACAGTTTGCTGAGTCGTGGTCGACGGAATATGGAGTGGGCCAGTCTTTTGTTTAAGTAAAGGAATTAACAAGGGCGGGGGTAAGACATCGGGTAGAGGCACGTGATTCTTTCGTAACACGACGAGATGCATGGCTACGAAAAATTCTTGTAAACTCAACGCACCGTCTCTGGTGATGTCAGCTAGTTGCCAAATGCGACTAAGTTCTCCTAAAGGGAGTCTAGACTTCTTGAAGAACATCCTGGCCATAGGACCAAGCAACAGTCCATCAGGATTCAGTTGCAGTTGCGCGAATTGAGCTGCATAATATTCACGTTGTTCATCACTAATTATCCATACTTCTTCGGGTGGGAACGAGCTGTCGCCGTCAGCATCACCTTCGTCGCTGCTATGACGTTCTGAACTCTCCTCCTCAGTCCCTAACAGTTGCCTCTGTTCCTCGGACACCAACAGTCCCTGCCAGCCTCCGGATACAGAGTCCGTTTCACCACCTATGTCATTGTTCCTTTCTTGTATCACACTGTTTGGCGGGGTTGGTGAATCTGTACTACCACCAGTGTCCCAAGGAGATTCTGCATCACTTTCACTTTCCATTGTATTCTCGACAGCACGAGAGCGACCCTTCATAGCCCTATTCGAGTCCGAGCTTCTTCTACCGTTTTCCTCTCGAGACGTTGGCCAAGTAAATCTCGGTAAAGTTATAACGTCCAGAGGCATAGTAATTATGTCTTTATGAATGGTAAGTCCTGCTTGATGAGCTGCCACAAGTTTTAATAGTACAAAGAACTGTTTTTTACCAAGACGCGTGCCGATGTGCGCCCCTTCAGTTCCAAAACAGAGACCCAATATCTACAAAAGCAGAACATTTGTTGCCGATTAGTGAGATAGGAAATTATGAGACTGCATTCTTCTTTCATTGAATTGTCCTAACCGAGTTTCGTTTTCAACCTAATACTATCAATTGGATTATTACCATCTAAAAATGCCAAGTGCAACGTTCAGATCGATAATTGTTACAATTGGACAAATTCCCAAGTGAAAATGAAGATCGCATACCCAACTGTTCCGTTTGCGATTGAATTAAATTTTAATTATGCAGTGCCTATAATCCGTGCCAGTTACTTAAGCCTAACCTTCATAAGTTTTTACTACCAGCCGATATTATCCGTTCGACAAATCGAACGCCCACTCATGCTACGGCCGTACGGATTTACTTAAACAGATCGCAAACACAAGATTCTTGATGCATGCACCCCGCAAGTTTCGCTCGCGCGTCTGACAGAAAACTAGAAAACAGCTGACAGGCTACGTATGTACGCAAGGTATGGATTTACCTTCATCGTGACAACTTCTGGTAGATTCGCCGAGCGCAGCAACTCGGCCACTTTGATCACCGGTACGCTCTCGTAACAGTAATTAAAAATGTCCTCGTAATATTGGTGTTCGGTAGTTGTCAGGTGAAGACTCGCCATCGTGATCGAGTCCCAATCCATCTTGGCGACAAGTCGGACCGGAGCAATGAACCGCTCTTACTTCTACGTTCGTTGCAGTCTCGTTACGTGCGAACTGACTCCGATCTCTCTCTAACGTCCGACCTTGTTGCTCCCTCGCTGTTTGTCTCCGTCGGCTGTCCTTCCGTTCCCGACACGGTCTGCTTCACAGGACGGTCGCGATCAGCACACGTCGGTCACATTGCACGACGACAGTAGCTTTGCGGCTCCGATAAATCTCTTGGGAACGCGGGCAGAGAGGAGGCACACCGTTCTACAGGCAATACCGCCCATGCATCGCGAAATTACCGCTCGGCGGCCATCTTTCCGCTCCCTCGGTGTTTGACATTATTTTAATCTACCGTGTGCACTCTACTCGGAACAGCTCTACTACGCACGACAGAAAGACGGCCAAACCAACAGCGGCACGACCAGGCACGACTGACAGTGTGCGCGGCACGCATTAACTTTATAGATTATGCCACGCGTGCGTGGTTGGCATTGCTACGCTGACGCGGGCCTTCTTACTCTTAGTTTCAAATCGTTTTACTTGATTCATTCTTTATTTCGTTGACGTTACAATTTGATATTATTATACTTTTCTCGTTTTCTATTTCATGTTTGTACAAATAGATGATCGCTTTATCCTTATGATATTTCAATCGAATCGTTTCTTTTTTTAATGATAGCCCCAACAGCACTCAATATTGCAGTACAATATTGTCGCAACGTTGCTGCAATATTGAGTGCTGCTGGGAAACCATTATTAAGTAATTAGTGTACTACTATTTTTTTTTTCTATAATATCAGAGATATAAAAAGAACTATCGTTTGTCACGCATTTAAGATATTTTATACGGGCGTGTGTGTCGAAAGACCAAGCTTTGGAGAACGAACTTGAATAATGTTTTTAACGGACGCAAATCGTGATAAAGAAGAAAAACAGAATCGTGGAACGCTTACTTAACTGATGCATGACTAGAGCGTACGATTACGATTGATTCTTACAGGTATACTTGATTTCGAATCTAACAGTTTTACATAAATTCAATGTTATCCGTTAATCTAATAATAACATAAGTTGAGTTAAGACGCGTAACTTCGTCGTTCAACGTGAAATGCGCGTTACTATACGTTTTCCATTACCGAAGAGGACGGGGCTTTCTTGCAGTAACGTCCAGTCACCGGTTTGTGCCGTTCAGTCTTAAATCGATGCACCACTGGCGAACCTTCCCTTGGACTGCCGCTAACATTATCCAAGTCCCAGCTAGCGAAATGCTCCTCGAACAGATCCTCCAGTTTTCTCGACAGCGTTTCAATTACTTTTACTCGATCGTGATCGTCCTTTAGAAAATTAACGATTGTCGTAAAGACTGGTGCCATCGGCAGACGGACGCGGAGTAAACGAATTGCGAACCTTATGATACAATTTTGAATTATAGACGATGCGACGGAAATCTCTGACCACGTGTTCCACCTTGTGATAGACCCGGTTCTTCAGTTTGTATTCAACGGTTTCCAAGAACATCGGACTTTTAATCACTTTGTAATAATCTTCGATCTAAAAGGAAGCAATTCATTTTCCTGTTACGATCTCTGGTAAACCGTGCTATCGCGGATCTCTTACCGTGCGCGTAGACGCTTGGCTGCTACTATTATTCGACGGGCATTTGAAAATTTCAGCCTCCTCCATCTGCCAAACGGTCTGATGTATCATTTCCAATTTGCTGAGCGCGAGCGGGCTGAGGCTCTGTTTCTTTTTCGAACTGTACCACACGGACCAGCCCCTGTCGCTGGTCTTCCCGCCGAACTTCCCGTCCAAGAACTCGACGGAATTCTCTCTGTCTTTCCCGTGTTTGACCGCGGACCTCCCTTCCGGTTGGGAGTCGTCGCAGCTCTTCGCCATCCTCTTACCGGAACACCTGCGGGATCTGTTATGCAACAAGTAATACGATTTTTCGAAATCCTTTCTCTGACACTTTCGTCCAGGTATCGGCACGACGGTGCTGCAAATCGTCGATACGTTCGCGATGTTCAGTTTGCCTTTCTTGCAGTATTCTTTCTTCTCCGTGAAGGATGTACTTAAAGAGGAGCAGCGTCGTACGGTCTCGGAGTAAGTGGCTTTCCCAACGACACGTTCCGTCTCTTCGGACGTTCGATCGTTGTTCAACGAAATGCACGAGTTTTTCCTCGAGCACACGGTTTGCTGGAGATTCTTCACTGTCGTCGTGGTCGCCACCGTGGTTACGGTGCTGTTGGTCACCAGCGATACGACCGGCGGTAATGGTTGTTCGTTCTCCGTCACGGAACTGTTCGACGATTCCGAGCTGCGAACGGTATTGCTTTTTCGTCGCTTCTGCTTATTTGCCATGTTGGCGTTGTTCAAAGTTTTGATTAACCACGAGTCCGTTTTTACGTTCATTTTACTGGAACCTGTTAATGGGTAGCTGCATAAAATATTGCGATATTTAATGCTGGAAGAACGGAACCGCCTGTCTTGATAAGTCGTCAAACGAGCAACGTCTGACACGTATAAAACAATTCGTTTAAGTGGAATGAAAATATCGTATCCGTTCTTCTAGTATTAAAGGGATGAAACATAGGAAGGCGGAATGATGTTGCGCGATATTTACAGGATACACGAAATATACATGATTTATTTAAAAATTGCAAGAGACCAGATTTCAAACGAAAACGTTTGCATAAGAAGAATTACCATTTTTATTACCAGAGGACTGTGACACTTCGTTGATGCTCGTGTTCGGTGAAAAATGATTAGTAGAACCGGAGTCATCCTCGGACGCTTCGTAACTTGAAACACCGTCGCAATCGTTGTTATCTTTCAAATGCTTGAAACTCTCGTCCAATTTATCCTGATCCTGCGCAGTTTGAGAGGCCGCATCTCTGTTATCATCTTCTTTAATGTCTTCGCGGACTTCCTTCCTCTTGAACATTGCGTCTTCTTTCACGTTTAACGCTTCCAACAAGATTTCGGCCGAAGCGCAGGCAGCCTTCCAAGTAACGTCCTCGGACGTAGTATAATTCGACGCGTCGGATCGTTTCAAAATCCTCGGTGAACTCTCAAGTGAGAATGCTGGCGGTGGTACAATGGGAGTCGCGGGGAAAGGCAATTTCATGGTGTTCGTGGAATTATTAACGCTGGCTACAGGGACGGAGGGCACAGAGGGTCGAGAAACAGGTGTGGACGATGCGGGACCATAAGATTTTTCTTTATTAGCGTAATGGCCACGGTGATTAGCGGAACTGTTGGCAACGTTCCGAGACGCGTTCTCCAGGCGGCGATTAGACCTCCGCTGATGCCTCTTCTTGGGAACGTTGTAACTTCCTGGTTTCATGTACACTCGAACATCCTCGGAACTATCGTACTCTTCGGGCACCTGTTGCACTTGAACTCGATTGTTGATCAAATTATACGCGTTCCAAGGCACAGCCTGAACATTCTGCATATTCTGCAACGTTTGGAATTGACGGTTCGCATCGATTTGCAACTGTCGGATACAGTTACCGAGGTCCATCGTGTTCTTTGCAATCTCTGTACGCGAGGTTCGCGGTACGGCTGTTTCCGTGTTCCCATCGGCTAGATTGATGAATGACATTTGTCGATTGTCAGTGCTCCGCATGCTGGCGAACCAGGCAGACAAATTTGCAGTCATCTCTTCGGACGACTTCTCCGGGATGCTCGGTTCGATCTGACTAAGCAACATCATTTTATCTTTTGGCACGGCCGCCAGCTCTAATTGACCAGTCGACGACTTGCCAACGTACACCAGATCCATGTTCGTTTTGTTCTGATCGTACCCTTTCAGATTCTTGTTACCATACGTCGCGTCCATCGCGTATGGGGGACAGACGTAACTGGGATAGAAACTATCTTGATCGTTACCAGAAGGGAAGTACATCGATTCCAAACTGATAGAAGGATTCAGGAACGACGATTCCATCCTGGATAAACACTTGTGCCCGCAATTGCTCTCGCAACTTTCGTCGAGCCTCTGCATTCGAAACACGTCGTTATCTCTCTCCTGCTTGTTCTCTGCGAACTCCTGCTTCTTCTCCTTGAACCACTGTCTGTTCTCTTGGTTGTTCTCGATGAGAACTTTGCTTCTCAGGTGAAAAAATTCTGCGTTCAACGACTGCGCCGAGCTGTCCTTCGCGTTGGTCGTGGTGCAGCCTCGCGTACGAAATCTACTGTTCGGTTGGCCGGGTTCAGCGTGCCCTGAGAACATATCAGGCACGGATTTCGTGCTATCTATCGATAGGTTCTCGGTAACGGTCCACTTACTTCGCAGCTTCGACTCTTTCTGCTTCTCCTGGTACAGGCAAACATTTTTCAATGTCCCTCCAGCTCCCAAAGGATTCTCCTGACTATTCTTTTTATTATCCTTCTGCTTCGAATTCGCGGACGGATCGAACAAATCGCGGTTCGTGTACACTGAAACGTCACCTGGAAAAGAGGTTCCGAATGATTCTGGTTTCTGTTCAGAACTCGAGCCATCGCTGTTCTCCTCGAGCTTCAAGAACGTGTGCACCACTTGATTCAACAGCTCGTGAGTGCTCTCTTCCCACAGCCGGAAACATCTAACCAGCTCGCAGTCGAATTTCTCGTTCAAATTTGGATAATGTTGTTTGTTCAAGTAATTGTCTAATATCAGCCAACCGTTGCTGATACGCAGCAACGCGTTTATCAAGTCGCTGATGAAGACACGATCGCCGGCGAAGATCGGGAAACAGGTGGACGATTTAGTGATAGCGGTTCTGGTCGCGGCTGAGAGGTTCGTCAGCCAACCGCATCTGGGATTCGTTTTCGAACCGTTGTTCAAAACGATCTCCGCTTCGGTGCATCCCCAGTAAACGACTTTCCGCAACATCTCTGGATACTGCGCCCTGTCCGTACAAGGTCCGTCCGTTTGAATCGCGACGGACGTACCGGTACCATAATCCGAGCAGAATTCCGTGAACCAAGTGTTCTTGTTGGACGCGGTATCGCCGGCCCCGCTGAACAACGGCGTGGAGTTCGACTTGTCGTTCTTCGTTTCTTCTTTGCTAATGTCGTTCGAAGATGTGTTGCAAAGCGCCGAGACCATCTTCTCGGCTTCGATGGTGAAATCGAAGCTGGCCGAAGATTCGTCTGAATAATGTTCGTCTTGGGTCTTGTTAGAAGCGTTCGACGCAATCTTCTCCAACGAATTTGTAACGGTTTCCTGGTTCTCATCGTCCGCGTTCGGTTTAAACAAATTGCTAGAAGAGGCAATGGTCTGCGACGACCATTCGTTGAAATTATCGCTACCAATCTGAGAACTCGCTGGTGGTTTGTTTTTGACGGGCGAGGATTTCACTGGTGCATCGATATTGGTCGCCACGGGTTTATCGTTTTGTAGACTGCTGTAAACCAAACTGCTCGCCGGTGGATTCGAGAAGATTTGATTGTGGACCGGTTGAACTGGGCCGGTGATTTGATTATTAAAAGTCGCCGTGGTATAAGGATTCAAGTTTGGGAACTGAAACGAGTTACCGTTGACTGGCTGCAAGCAGGCGTTCGTCGCGTTATAATACGAGCCGTGGGACTGTTCCGGTTGCTGCGAGATGTTCTGTCGGTCTTGAACCAGGCAGAACGTCTGCACGTCCGGTGGTTTGAAGTAAGGCTGCGGTATCAACGCAACTCCGGAATTGTTGTATTGATCACCGGGAAAGGTGCCGTGCGTGTACGTCGAAGACGCGATTAAAAACGAAGCTGCAGGCGCCGGCGGTGGGACATTGTTCGTCGTTTGATCGTATAGAACCAACGGCTTCGGGTTATAAGATAACTGCTGTTGAATATGTTGTTGTTGCTGCTGCTGCTGCTGCTGCTGTTGTTGTTGGCAGTATTGCTGGTTGCGAACGAGTTTACTCTTGGGTGGCCATCTGCTGCTTTTGCCTATATTCATAAATCGTGTTTGTACGAGAATCTTCCAAACATCAAATTATTATTAAAAATAAATGCACGTCGTTCAACGAGTTTTAACATTAAAGAAATATTTAATCCCGTCTACGGAGGATCTATTAAAAGGAAATTATTGGCGCGCTCCATTCCGTTCGATTCACAGATTTTTTAATAATTTAACTTTGAACCTTGTACGTGCGAAGGGACAGGATTGGTCGGGGCAGCGTTGCGTTGAGCTCCTGGGTAAATACACGAGGGATGCAAACTAGTTCCGCACGGCTGAAGCGTTAACGTTGGATTAGCGATAGGACCGTAAATAATTTGTTGCTGCTGCGGGTGTAGAAGGGACGTGGGGGCTGATGTGGACGGAATCGAAGATTGTATAGACGATCGATTAGCTCGTGCGGCTGTGGGGTGCATGATCCACCTAACCCCGGATTAAGAAACGATCTTTCCGTTCTCTTCTCGCTTCCCTCAACGTCTGCTCAACGATTTCAACGTACAAGTGTATCTGTGATCTCTAGTTTACAGTCTAGAATTATGCGTCAGCGTCTTTTATATTACAACGTTGTTTGAACAAAAGTAGGCGAAAAATATTTTTATAGACAATTAATTAATTAATTTTATAAACGAAATGAATCTAGCCGCTATGCGAGTTTTAACTGACGTCTCGTTAACCTCCCCGATTCATTCGCCACGATTTTGAATTGATAGCGTACAATTTTTTGTTTAATTTACCTGATGCTCGAACGCGTTTTCACTCCTCTTGAGCGGACCATTTGTGCTGGAACTTTGAAACTTTGTGGACGCAGCAGTGATAGTCGCGGACGGAACGTGTCGCACCGAGTTGAGACTGTGTTCACGGTTACGGCAGGTAATCGAGAATCATTATCGAGCTTAATTAAGTACACGCAACGGAAAATGAAAGAATTTCAACTCTAAACGAACGAACTTGCGGTGTAAATTAATTAGAACGAGCTCCCCGAGATCCCTTTTCTCGCCGAGTTAACAAATGTACATGGTTGGTTCGTTCACGTGTGCAAAGTCTCTTGCTTTTCTTTTATATCGCGCGAAGACTACTATTAGAAATTCCTTGCGAACGAGAAAAACGACGCACACCGAACTTCTATGTACATATCGAAGAAATGGGAAATGGGTAATCTATGGAACGGGAGTCAACGAACACCGCAAAAGAAAAATGGCAGATTACTGGCTGTCGATCTGAAACAAAATTCTCTACAACGAACAATGAAACGAGAGCGAAAAATTTGACGTACGGCTCGGGAATTTTTGTCCACGGATTATCTACCTAACTTTAAAATTACCTATATAGAATCTTGATTTATTAATCCGATTTGAATACTGGAAGCAGCGTCGGAACGGATCTCGACCGCGTACGTTAGATGGGACAAGGGTACAAATAATAATAGCCCTCCGTGTTCTCCGCAACGGCAACCCTGATATATTTTTCCCGTTTGCCACGAGAACATATCGTTACAGATATTCCTCTCCTCTTCATCGCGAACGTGGTCACAACATATAGACTTTCAACAAGTTGCGTAAATCGTTACGTGTGTGTAATATCATTCTTAAGCTCTACGCAGAAAAATTGTCAAGTGAACACAATGTGACGTCGTCTCGCCACACCTTTTTCAGCACCTAAATTGGATATCTCCAATGATAGTAGGTAATTATTAATGAACGATCGAGGAGCGGTCGACAAGCTGTTCGACGTTTTCGCAGAAAGTACCAAAAGTCATAGCGTTCCCCGAGTCCCAGGCGTCGTTTCACAGCAAATATTTAATTACTCTCCGACAGAATATTCGATCTTCCATCTGGAACAACTGGTCCGCAGACTTTCATTTTTGTCAATTAGAAAAATCCATTATTCTTTTATCATACAAGACTCGCGATATATGATCATAATCAATTTTTAACATTTAGTCCGTTAGTATTTTTGTCCGTATAAAGCAATTCGTAAAATCCGCTAACAACAATTAAAATCGAGGCTCCTAACTTTAGAGTACTCAGATTGTCGTTCCTCTCCACTGTTCATGGCACATTTTGCTGTAAAACGTTCTGGTAGTCAGGGTTAACGTGCGTTTCTAAAACTACTATATTCTTGAACCAATGGACAGTAGGAAGCCACTGCACTGTCTCTAGAATTCTGGATTAAAACATATTCCCATTAACTCATTCCTTCTGTCTTTCGAGATCACCAGTCTCCATTTTTGCAACACGAAATCTACCGCTTCTTCAAACACCTAATACATTCTTTCAATTTTTCTACATACATTTCGTCTGATAAGTGTGTAACAAGTAATCGATCATGGAAAACGTGTATACATTCGTTTCTTGACAATGGTAAAAAGATCGAACCTCCTAACTCTAATCGATCTCGAACGCATCTCCTCGTCTGGTCGGGATTATGTTAACTTTCTGTTTTGTTTGGCTGTGTTAAACTCGATTTAATTACGGATGAATATTAGAAAAACACTGGCGAGGACGCATGAAATGATCAACGACGTCGACACCGGAACGTTCGGCGTTGCCGCGTTGCAATAGTCCTCCAGACACGAGCAGACTTCCTGACGGCCGCCGAAACCGCTTCTCTGGTAGCATTTCCCTTTGTAGTTCGATTCGTCCCATCCGCAGCCTCTTATCACTCGGGTGTCAGGCGGTACTGAACGAAAACAAGTAATTTAGTTGACAGATCGCCGATTTACATGGGATACATAAACGGATGAAATTCGCGATCCAATCGTATGTTATAAAATGTAATTAATATCGATATTGCGGATATTCGATTACGTTGGCCGGACCGCTAGAAACCGAGCACGCTATTGTCACATGCTCGCCAATATACTTATTGCGGATTTCCAAAGCGTAATAAGGATACTGCACCAATTTAGAATCTAGGCTAATAGTGATAGCGTTACAACCGATTCGGACGTCCAAATTCAGAATCACAAGTTATCAATAATTTTATGCATTTATGCGAGGGACAAAGAATTCATTTAAGGATGTATTGGCTATACAGTCAATACCAAAAGTTTATGTACCTTAGAAAAACGCATTTCCTATAATTAAAAATAGTGCATTTATCTTCTAATTTCGATATTTAATGAGTTAAGTATGATTATTTGGCATTTTAT